TATTTATATTTATATGAAATTATATTAAAAAATTTAAGTATAACTTTATATATGTATATATATATATATATACATGTTATATTTCATATGCATAACTATGTATGATATACGATGTTGTGTGTATAGGTATGCGTTTATGTGTAATATGTGCATTGTAATCGTTGCTCTATATCGTATATCATCTCTTTTATATAAATCGTACAAAGGCTAACCATCGTACGATCGCGTAATATAACCATCTTGATGTAAAAAATGCCGGCGCGATGCTACAGTGAACTAAAGCCGACAACAATAATATTACAATATTACTAATGTAATATTTACATAATATGATTAATAACTGATATTATTTGTTATTAAAGCGTTCAATATTTTGTTGTGAATAGATTTGCAATATGCATATGTATATAAATATATTCAATTAGTGATGCCTAAATCTGTCTGTTATGTTGATATATAGAAACTTATGTTAAAAACGTATTCATTATGCGAGATACGGAAAATAGCTAATGAAAATGTTCTACTTAAATGTACAAGAACAAAATGATTAACTAATTAAAAATATAAAAAATGTAACTGTAATATTACTAAAGGCGTCACTAAAATGAAATTTCTGTGCGGGATCGAACCGTGTTATAAAAAAAATCGATCGATCCTACGATTACGCCTGTTTCCTACTTCGCCAATCGAAAAAAAATGAATAATCCGTGGGATTTAATTCATTTTATTATACCGAATAAAAAACGCGACGTGAATCCAAAGCCGTAGTCGGTCTCGAGATATGGAAAAAGAGAAAAAAAACTAAATTTCGAGTGCAAAAGTAAAAAATGGGCACGAGGCAGTCATCTGAGCACGAGAAGTTTAATCAAGATGATACGATTAATTGAAATTTGAGAAATAAAAAAAGATATATAGAGAAAATATAAACTAATATTTAATTGCAACTGTAATAAAAATGAGAGCCGCCGAAAATATGATTCTACGCGTGGTTTATATCTTGTTACTTAGAATCTGTACAACAAAACTGGATATACATCTGAACACCGAACGAACAGCGATCATTCAGATATTCGCGCTCGTGTTAGCAAATGATTCATTTTTTCTCGGCCAAACATCAAACAAACATTGAATACCAGCAATAAGAATTGATGCAATTCAGTATTCGTATGTAATAATTTGGGATTGTGTGTTTATGTGTATATGTGTAAATTTGTACGTAAAAAAAATCATTAACTAGCTTTTCTCTTAATATAGAATACGTGCTAATATTATATATTCTCCTAATAGGTGTTCTCAACACCCTTCAACACAGAATTCGATTACGGACAGGTTAAGTTGCTCTGGAAAGGATTATCAGTTCAAGAAGTGACCAGCGAACACGCAAAAGTCACTTACTTCTTTTGCACGTTCACATCGCGCATAAATCGCGCACGAATTGTCTTTGATATTGACCGCCTCATGAGGGAACCGAGCTCGATTCGCGTTTGCTTCGACGTATACATCTGCTGAATAATAACGAATGTCCGAATTTACTGTTCATTTGGTGTTCATAGACGTATACCCGTGTATTAAGCGACCATTTTTTCCTTTATCTTATCGATATTTATCTCTATGTATGTACAGCGTTTTAATTATATCAATAGAATGACAACAAAGCAAAGTGTAAATGCCACGCGTAGATGCCTAATGCGCATACGAGCTATTTCTACCTACGCAACTTGGCTGACTCATCATCTCGCTCTCCTATTTATTACAACCAATCTTGAAGAAGAGCGATACCCAGAAGCTGCCGCATGTTGCTACCGTTATTCGAAGTTGGCGCTATCTTCTAATGGTCATTATGATATTTTATTGCGTCCTTTCCTTCGGCAATCTATCGAAAATATAAATTTCTGCATCTTTTTTTTCGGAAACTATTTGTACAAGTTTTTACTCGACACACGTTCACTATTTGGAGATGGCTTTACCCGCACATTAATTTCGAATTGAATTTCAGCAAATTGAGCGAATGTTCACAACTAATGAGTTGTATAATAATTAACGGGGATAATTAGACAATTGTAATGTCCCGCGAATGAAGTATGCCCGAGCTCTCGCGTGTCGGTATCAACCAATGAGAGCGTGAAGTACGACTCTCTCTTTCAACGCGAGAACTCGCATAATTCTGTTTTTATTCAAGTTTAGGAACTGGTAATTGTTGACAATCGTAGCAGCACGCGTGTCGTTCTCTCCTTTTTCCTACTCCCCTATTTATAAAATATGTGCAAAGACCGTTAAAACCGAGAGAATCCAAGTCCGAAGCGCGCCCTAAGAATGAACCGGTTGGGAACCGGTAGTCAGGTTGTTGGACAATAACGTGATAAGGTTTCCTCCGACTGCAAGAACGATTCGCTTTATCTGCGCGATGAAAATTAAAATGCATTCCCCGATGACTCGTCGGCACCAAGCGACGAGTCACGCGAAAGTGCGACAGCAAGAGGCGGAAAGCGAATCGTTGAAAAGACGCGAGGTTAGAAACGAGATACCGAAAAAGGTATCTTCGATCGAGCTAGTCAGAGAGAATCTGAATACTGATCATGTTACGCTCTTTTCATTGGTCGCAACCATGAAAAATTCTCTATTAATCCATAAAAATAATAATGATAATGATTCATAAAAATCATGATTAGAATAACGATTGGCTATTAATAAAGCGGAATATGCCAATCGTTATATATTCTCTAATATATATAATCATAATTCTAATATTTAACTAACTAATCAATTTTTTATCAAT